TTTATTTTTTAGTATTATTTTTATTAGTACATGTTTGCACTACAGAATGATTGTAATTATCTTGGGGAGCTGGTACATGTACACAATGTGTCTTAATTCCTTTCTCATTTTTATTTTTCATTCCATTCCCCTCTCTTCCCTCCCTGCTCTTTCCAACTCTTGGTCTGTTTCCCATTTGCAAAGGCTCAAGTTTCATCATTTCCCCCCTCTTTGATTCTTTTTAAAAATCCCTTTCCCCTCACCTCTCTCCCCCTCACTCCATCCTGTTCTTCTATCAATTTGAAAATGGTCTCCTTACTTCACATTCATTTACCTTCTATTTTGCTTTATACATATTATATAGTTTCTCATATGAGAGAAACAATGCAACATTTCAGTTTGTGTGTCTGACTTATTTTACTTAATATCAAGTTTCATTCCTTTATCTATGAGTGCTCAAGTTTGTCTTTATGACAGAGCTGTGCTCTATTGTGTATAATTTTTATACCTAATTTTTTCCCTTTACTCTATATACCATTTAAATTTTTGTACATAAACATAAAAATCCAGGCACAGAACACGCCAAATCATCCTGCTACAGACAGGCAGATCTGCCCACACCATACCGAGGTCCCCAGTCTCGCAGAATATGCCAAATCAGCCCGCTGCACTCAGGAAGGTCCGTGCACGCCCTACCGAGGTCCTGAGTCACAGGGAAGACACCTAGTCACCCCGCTTCAGACAGGCAGCCACCTGGTTCCACACTACAAAGACACAGAGGACACCAGACCACCAGACCAAGGTACTGAGTCCCGTGGTTCCCAGCCCAGAGGTAGGGGCTTCTGAGCCGTCGTCCCACTGCTCCTGGTCCAGAGGAAGGGACTTCCTGGTCACCATCCCTCCCTCTGCTCCCAGCCCAGAGGAAGGGGCTTCCAGGCCACCATCACTCCCACCTCTCTCGGCCCAGAGGGCGGGGCTTCTGAGCCACCATCCCACTACTCCTGGTCCAGAGGAAGGGGCTTCCCGGCCACCATCCCTCCCACTACTCCCCGCCCCTATCCCACCTCACCCAGCTCAGAGGACATAATCTGTGCAGGCCCTAACAGCCCCCCGCCCCAATAGAAATGAGAAAACATGTAAATAAGTCTCAAAACCAGACTTCCAGATCACCTACAGCAACCCCAAAGGGAAATGAGATGGAACACTCTGA